CTTATCTTATCTTATCTTATCTTATCTTATCCAATCCAATCTTAACTATCTTATCTTATCTTATCTTAACTATCTTATCTTATCTTAACTATCTTATCTTATCTTAACTATCTTATCTTATCTTATCTTATCTTATCTTATCTTATCTTATCTTATCTTATTTATCACCTTCATGGATCAGGCTAGTAAGGTTAGGGGACACAGATGGACAGACAAACAAACACATAGACGGATAGCTGGATGAAGGACACGCATTCACATTCACACGCTCTTGTACAGGCACACGAGCACAAGCATACATACACATGCACACACACACACACACACACACACACACACACACACACACACTTATAGTAGACAAATAGACTTATGAATTTAGAAAGAAATTTTTGTTCTCTTAAAAATACATTAAAAAAAACCCCCCTCAAACAGATTTTGCTGACAGGAAAATCCATCAACTTTCTGCGACAAGTTTGTGAGGACAGAACGCCCACCAAAGGTCGCGAGGTCGCTATGGGTCTTGACCTCACTCAAGGTATGAAAAAAATTGTGAAATTAAATATATATGTGAGGCAGAGGGTGGAATCAGGCTCTCGTCAAAATAATCAAAATGAAGAAACTTGCATTTTCCCACAGGTTTGTGAATTTTTATTCAATTTTTGTTTTTTGGCTCAGCACCTTTCAAGCCTATTACAGAACTCATTTCTGTGTGGGTTTTTCTGAAAAACGTTGATTAAAGGCACAGAAAATGTTAATTTTCGGTTATCATGGACTCTTAGGCTAAGGAAATAACTAACCTTTGGCGGCCATTTTCTCACTAATTTTACCTCTGAAAACAAGTGACCCCCACCTCCTTCTTTCGTAAATATCTCAATTTGTATTCAAGATAAAAGGATATTTTTTTCATCCAAATAAAGACAAATGAACAAGCTTTAAGATGATACCAATAACTCTGCATGCCCAAAAATTGACGAGAGCCTGATTCCACCATGCTGCCTCACATATATAGGTTTAACACCTTTTCAACACTAAAGTTGTTTACTGAAAGATAGGACCTCCGAATTTAACGTCAATATGCGACAGTACTGAGCCAAATGGGTGGAGAGCCTTAAAAACTCCCCAAAAGACCCCAAATACAAAACACCCCATTGAGGATTTGAACCAGGGTCATCTGCTTGGTAGTCCAGCATGATACCAACTGAGCTTATGGCACCCCCACTCAAGATAACCCTAGCTAAAGGAAACAGGGCTCTGGGCAGTGGCGACCAGCAATTGTGTATTTTTAATATTGTTATTATGTGTTGGTGTAGTCTTGTGCATTTAGTATTCTTTGCGTGTATATTTGTGCGTTTGCATGTGTGTGCGTGCATGTGTGTGTATGTGTGTGTGTGCATGTGCATGCATACATATGTGCAGGTGTGTGCCATTGTAACCCAAATTTCCCCATGAGGATCAATAAAGTGTAATTTATTTATCCATTTGTTCATTTATTCATTCATTCTTTCATTCATTCATTCTTTCATTTATTTATTTATTTGTTTATTTATTTATTTATTCGTTTATCTATTCATTCAATCATTTATTCATTTATTTATTTATTATTTCATTTATTTATTTATTCATTTATTCATTCATTTATTCATTGATTAATTTATTCATATTATTATATTTTTTCCTTTGACGCCCGGTCTGGTGGTGGGCTGCTTGGTCGTCCAGCGGTCAGCATGTTCTCCCAGGACCAGAGCGGAGACTTCCAGAACATGCTGGACTCGGTGTACCAGGTGACCTCACAGCAGTTGCTGGACGTGCTGCAGACCAAGTACAAGTTCTTGGAACATCTCAAGGTCAGTGATGGGTGTGGGGTGTGTGTGTG